TCATTAAAATGACTAAGTTCACATCATAGTCAATGACTTAAGATCCATTACGATTATTATTTGCTTTAATACTCAATTGTGTCATACTTTGTGAGTAAAGACCCTTCCAACTGGCTCTTATACGTTTTTGGTATGTGCCCAACATTATTTGAGCCTTTTCTTTCTTTGTGGCGTAAGACATTCTAGGATCATTTTATTGTTCCCCAGACTAATTTAATCCTCATATTGGCTTCTCCAGAGATTATAATATTGAGAAAATAGGCTCTAGGGGCCTTGATCTGTTCATTGTTCTTAGGTTTTCTTTATGCTTTCTCAGGTAGATCTAAGTAGATAGCTGTCTATTTACTTATATATCTATGCTTACTTCAAAACCATGAGTTGATGCTGTGTCTTCTCTCTAATTCAACTCCACAGGGACCATGCCAGCATTTCCTCCCTTTGCATCTTTGTGGCTCCTCTCTGAGAGTGTAAAACCTGGCACCTGTCAGCCATGAATACTTACTCATTTTCCCAGTCAAGTAATTAGAAGTGTGAAGATTGTCTGTTGTCTAGTTGTGGTGGATGCAAGGATTTTGAGTCATTTTACTTGTTCTTGTGGAAATACATGTATTTGGGGATGAAGATAAATTATAGAAAATTTTGATTTACACAACTGTCATAACTATGGCTGTCTAGAACCATAAGTACTTTTCAATACATGAAATAAAATACACAGACTTTTAAAGGAAGCCTATTTGCTGAAATTCACCAAAGATATTTTGAATGTTATCTTTCATTAACTCATGAATAGTACAATGGAAGCAAGAGTAATAGGCATGTCTTTAATCCCTCTCATTCTGAAGGCAGAGGCAAGCAGATCTCTGTGAGTTCAAGGCCAGCCTGGTATATGTGGCAAGTTTCAGTAGCCAGAGCTACATAATGGGACCCTGTCTCAACAAAACAGGGGGGAGGGACATACAGAATATTTTGAGATAAATAACATAAAAATACCATGGCTGAGTGATGGTGCACACCTTTAATCCCAGCACTAGGGAGGCACAGGCTGACAAATCTCTGAGTTCAAGGCCAGCCTGGTCTACAGAGCAAGTTCCAGCACAGCCAGTGCTACACAGAGAAATCCTGTTTTGAGAGACAAAAGCAAAACAAACAAACAAACAAAAAAAAAAAAAAAACCTGTGCTGTAATCGATAGCAAAGTCTCAGGTCCTGCAAATGTTACTGAAGTGTGTTACTAGCTTCATAACTGAAAGATGTGCTGTTTCAGTAACAAAATAGAAAAAAAAATATATAGAGATTCCTTTCTCTGTCTAAGTGGACCATGCCTTGAATTCTAAGCACAGACTATCTCCAAGCTCGACACGAACCCCAAGAGGCTTTCACTGATGTCCAAATCCTCCATTCATCCTAATTCAAACCTCTTGTGTCTGGCAACTCACACCACCACAGGAATAGCACCCTCCTTCCTCATGGCCTCCAAGGCTCCTAGTCCCCTGGGAACTAACCCACCAGTCATTATCCGTGAACAAAGGAGGGCCTGGTGGGGGGGAGGGGGTGAGATGACGAAAGGCACAACCACTCTGAATGTCAGAGGTTGTTTTTGTCCGAGGACTTTTAGCCTAGCCGCCTAGCACCCTTGGCAAGGCACCTGTGTTGACTCTATCAGCTCAGCTTGCACACTGCCGGGCCCCAGCTACCAGAGAGTTCAGAGTTTCCAGTTCTCTCACATGGGAAGTCATGATGCTCCAGGTGGCAACAGTCTTGGAAAATCACCTGGTATCTTTGAACCTGTTTTATCTTCTAGAAGTGAGACAAATAATGTGTTCTCCACAAGGCTCGTGAGAAAATCGAGAGAATCGGATGAGAGTCTGTGCAGCGCTCCAGAGGAGAGGGCTTTGCCAATCTCACCATTTAGCCCTCTCAATTCTGCCCCTGGCAAAGCTGACGACAGGAGAAGCTAGTCCTCTAATGTAGGGACATTAAAACCCACAAATGTTTTGTTTTCTTTAAACAATTCCTCTGGAAAATTTGATTTACAATAAAATTAGATAGTTTAATATTCAATAGCTATCAAGGGCAGGGGCAGACTTAAATAAACACTAACTAATTGGATTTACAAGTAAGAAATGTCATTAAAATGTGTCATTTCATAAGTGCTTTCTGCTTCTCCCCATAATTATATAGTTTATATTATTATGTATTTGAGAAGCAGAAACCCTGCTGCATGGACATTTGTGTGCAACAAATCCATTTATCTATTCCTACACACACACACACACACACACACACACACACACACACACACACATTTGGGGAAACTAAAACAAATTATTAAGTAAATTAAACCTGTTTTTAAGTACCTAAAATTGTACCACATCAGCTATATTCCCATGTTCCCCATGTTTTAATATTTCTCTTTGGTTTAATATCTGTTAGTAGTTTTATTGTTGTTGTTGTTTATTTCTTTGTAAGTATTTTAGGGAAAAAAGATTAAAGCAGCCCATTTTTCCCCTAAGAAGTAAAGAAAATGCACTGAATTATTTTTATCTTAAATATACAATTGCACTGAGCACTGGTGGCACATGCGTTCAGTCCCAGTACAGGGAAAGCAAAGGCAGGCAAATCTCAGTGAATTCTAGGCCAGTCTGCTCTATAAAGGGAGTTCTAGGACAGGTTCCAAAGCTACAGAGAAACCCTGTCTCAAAAAAAAAACCAAACTAAATAAATGAATGAAAATATATATGATTGCTTATAAAGTGGTAGAAATTAAGTAAGCATATATATATATATATACATATATATATATAATCCTATTTATGCATTTGCTTGTAGACACATTTATTTATCAAAATACTGAGCCACATGTAATAACAGTTACATTTAAAGTGGACTTAAAGAGAAAAAAGGAAAGGAAAAATGTCTTGTATCCAAAAGTAGGCATGATTCTGGAAGCATCCACACAGGTCTGCACTTTAGTCCATATTTATTGTGTTTCTTCTGTGAGGTATTCCAGGCCTGTGTGAGTCTAAGGGAGAGTGAATCAAGGACAGAGACACTATTTGGGGCTGGAGAGATGCCTCAGCAGTTAAGACCATGCACTGTTCTTGCAGAGGCCCCAAGTTCATTCAGCACCCACCTAGGCTATAACAACAGCTTTGGAGCATCCCATTATCCCTTCTGCCTCTGCAGGCACCTAAACTCCATTGCACATATCACACACACACACACACACACACACACACACACACACACACACACCAAATCCATTCCTATACACACATGCACATGCACATGAATGCACACACACACACACACACACACACACACACACACACACGTGCATAGTTTAAAACACAAATCTAAAAGAAGAAAGCAAAGCACACTGTGTAGACACGGCAGGGAACTTTCTAGGCCTCCAGGCTGTGGGGAGAGTGCTCTTTCCAAAGGCGATGTTCTCCCTGGCTCTCTTCCTTGCACTGACTTAGGCACTAACACAGTGTTCCTGTGTGGAGAGGGAGCTGACCTCTTCTCCTGTTTTCCCTCTCCAGAAGTTAGAAGGGCAGGGCTGCCATGACCTCAGACATGAAGCAGCCAGAGAGAACAGCAGCAGCCTGCCCTCTGATTCTTTTGGCTTCCTCCTACTGGGTGGAGTGCCACTCCACAGGTGCCAATGCCACGGTAAGCATGGCGTGCTGAGGGAAAACAGAAGCACGGGTCCCGGAGCAAGGGTCCAGGAAGCCCTTCTCCTGCTTGATAGTAGACACTGAGCTACTCCCTAGTCAAAGCAAAATTCATATTTCAGTTGACTCTCTTCTAGGTAGTTTGGTCAGATTTACAGTATAAAATTGTTTCATTTTGTCCTGTTTATACGTGCCTTTATTTTATTTTTTTACAAGAGGTTAGTATTGAAAACAGAATTTAAAGATTTGAGACACCTTACTCTTTAACTTCCTGGAATCTCTCACTTCTGTCTCTCGTGAATAGAGCAGCAATACTCTCTGGGCCACATGGAAGGGGGACTCTAACACATTGACGAATAAGAAAATAGAACTGGGGTGGTGGTGACACAGGTCTTTAATCCCAGCACTCAGGAGGCAGAGAGAGGCGGATCTCTGTGTGTTAGAGGCCAGCCTGGTCTAGGGAGCAAATTCTAGGACAGAATCCAAAGCTACAGAGAAACCCTGTCTCAAAAACAAAAGGCAGAACAAACAAAATAAAACAAACAAACAAAAAACAAAACAGCAGCAACAACAACAAAACAAAAACAAAAGAAGAAAGAAAGAGAAACAAACAGAGAGAGAGAGAGAGAGAGAGAGAGAGGAAGAAAGAAAGAACGAACAAATCACACCAGGAATGTTTTCTTAGTGAACAGCTGCACTAATGCTCTCCTGTCCTGGATTCTGAAAATAACTGGGAGTCTGGCAGAACAAGAAGACTGAACTAAGCAGAGCAGTTCTCAGTCTGAGGATCGTGACCCCTTTGGGGGGGGATAAATGACCCTGTCACAGGGGTCACTAAGACCATCAGAAAACACTGATATTTACATTATGATCCATTGATTCATAATTACAGTTATGAAATTGGAATGAAAATAATTTTAGAGACCACACAGCCGCAGGAAGGTTGGGGACCCCAGCTCTAGGAGATTTTGATCCTGTTTTGCTCTTTGATTTCACTAAGTGACGAGACGTAAGATTTTACTAAGACACTTGTCTCTCAGATGGATGAGTTCTTGTGTGAGGTTAATGCCACTACTCTATGAAACTCCAGTGGCTCCTTCTGCCCAGTGACCTGGGCCATCTTTGCTTCTACTCCATTTCTTTCCATCTGGATTTTTTTCTGAATCCTTCTTGGTTGGCTTTGTCAGTGTGTGACCTAAATGACCTGTCTTTCCAACAAGCAGCTGAATAATCATTTTAGTATCTATTTGTCTGCTCAAATCCTCATATTTGTCAACATGTATTTGTTCTAATTTGAATTTTCTTTTTAATTTTGAACATCCAGGACTCCATCTTTTATTGTATATGAAAGAAGCATCCCTGTCACATACAGGGGAAAGAAAATGTTGTTATTGTTGTTTTGGGTGCTGGCCCTCCTGTTCCTCTGTGCTTTTCTGTGGAATTATAAAGGACAACTGAAGATAGCAGACATCACTGACAAGTACATCTTTATCACTGGATGTGACACGGGCTTTGGAAACTTAGCAGCCAGGACTTTTGATAAAAAGGGGTTCCGTGTCATTGCTGCCTGCCTGACCGAGTCTGGATCAACTGCTTTGAAGACAAAAACCTCAGATAGACTTCACACAGTGCTTCTGGACGTCACCAACCCAGAGAATGTCAAGAAGACCGCCCAGTGGGTAAAGAGCCATGTGGGGGAAAAAGGTAAGAGAAGAGATCTGCGGGATAGAGCAGTTGGGAAATCAGGAAGTAACTAAATTTACAAGCAGGGTTTCCCGCCAGCCTGGTCCCACAGCCGCGCCAGCCCCAAATAACACACAGAGACGATGTATTAGATATGAAGCTGTTGGCCTGTTACTAGTGTTGCTTATTGGTTAGCTCTTTCTTAAATATTAACCCATTTCTATCCATCTACGTATTTCCACGTGGTCTTAGCTTACCGGAAAGGGCCTGGAGTTCTGCTCTCTCTGCCCTACATGTTGAATCCCTTACTACCTATCCCTCAATCTTCCTTGTCTCCTAGTCCCGCCTATCTTGCTCTCCTATTGGCCAAAAGGTCTTTATTCATTAACCAATAAGAGAAACATATTTACAGAATGACATCTTCCATCAAACTAAAGCAAACTAAAATGAGTTCAAAGCTTAAATGGTTTTTCAAGAAAATGTCTCCTAAGGCCCAGCAGCACATTTCTTAGTCTCCACAGAGCTGAGTAATTCCAGTGTGTGTGAGATGTGCCTTGATACACTGCCTTAAGTCTCAGCAGGTGAATCTAGAACACAAGTAGATGCCCTAACTGTCCCTGATTTTCTCCGACAACATCACAGCAAATGGAGTTGAGGTTCAAATCTATAGGAGAATATGGAAACAGCATCCCAGTCACCACTCCGATTACCTGGGACAAGCATCTCAACAGATGAGTTCCAGAGTACATACGTAGTTAGTGGTAGAACAAGGACCCAGGAATGTGAGGGGAAAGCTCCTAAGGAGTTCAAGTTATCCACTGAGCAATAGACATTCCCCTCTGCAGTGGATTTTGTTATATAGCTGCACTCTGAACTGGGGGGGGGGCAGCTTTAAATATTGAAATATTCTCATAGAAGATGGTATCAGGGTCCACAAAATGCATGTGCTTCAATAATATCTTTAGCTCTAAGCCTCTGAACCTCAAATGCAATGATTTGATAAAGCCTCCAGACAAATTTGAATTCACTTTTGTCAATACTATATATTTCCAATCAAGAAACAGCCAAGTGGATAACTTATTTTTCTAGCAGATTTCAGCATAAAGTAGGTTCATATCATTTCTCTGTCCATCCAGAATATTTTATAAATATACACTGGCTGCACCATCTTGAAAGGCAGGAAAACAGACCAATTTTCTCTACATCTGAGATGAGAAATCAGAAAGTCTGCCTCAAAAGCATAAAAGAATATGACACTTGGAACCAGAAATAGAATAGCAGTGAGACTGAATTCCAGTAACTACACATGAACAATCTCAACTTAGTCTCTCACTCTGTCAGCTACCACTTTCCCCAAATGCAAAAATATTTCAAAGCAGGAATGCCTATAAAGAGAAAGAACTGTATTTCCATCAGAGATGCCCATAGAAACGACATCTCCTTCCCTCCCTCTCTGCCACAGGACTCTGGGGGCTGATCAATAATGCTGGTGTCCTTGGAGTGCTGGCTCCCACTGACTGGCTGACAGTGAATGACTACAGAGAACCCATTGAGGTGAACCTGTTTGGACTCATCGACGTGACACTGAATATGCTTCCACTGGTCAAAAAAGCTCGAGGGCGTATTATCAATGTCTCCAGCATTGGAGGCCGGCTTGCATTCTGCGGAGGGGGCTACACTCCATCCAAATATGCGGTAGAAGGTTTCAATGACAGCTTAAGGTAAGGTGAATTAATTAGAGTATAATTGCTGCTAATGCATCCTGGATACTTAGTACATATGACTATCCTTTTTAGCGCTTTCAATGTATCTACTTGGCCAGGGTTATACAGCTCATAAGTAGTAGAACTAAGATTTGAACCCAAGTCTATATTGAGTCTAACTGTTTTTACTTTTTTTTTTTGTTTTATTATTTTATTTTATATAACAAAGTCCAATTAAATGAAAACAAACATTTATAGGCAATATTTGGGAATTTGGGTGTCGTTCTTTCCAAACTACTTCCTGCTGGTAAGGGGCGCTGTCATGACGGATTTGAAGAAGATTCAGAAATCCTGGCTGTAGTCTGTAGGGCTGCTTTGTCCAGCTGTTTTGAATGTAGGATCACCTTATACTCTGTTTCAGACGGTCTGGCATGATCAAACCACATTAGTCTGGAAGGAATCCACATCTTTTCATTTTCTGTGGAAACAAAAATAGAAATCCTTTTCCCCAGTAACTTGTCCTTCAACTTAAATTTTGGAGTCAAAGCATTTTTTTAATTTATTATTTTACATGTCAATCCCAGTTCCCTCTCCTTCCCTCACTCCCTCCCTCCATCCCTCCCTCCCTCCCTTTTACCCTCTCTGCCCTCTCACATGCACTCTAACCACCCTCCCCTCCCATCCCCCCACCCCAATTCCATATGTAGGGGAATGCCATCCAGTTGGGTCATGTAGATCTGACAGGTCATGTGAAGTAGGGACTAGGGCTTCTCTCCTGTCTCTAGGTTAAGGCAGTTATCCCTCCATGGGGGATGTGTTCCCAAAGTCCTTTTGTGCACCAGGGATACATCCTGGCTCCACTGTCTGAGGTCTCTTAGACTGCTCAGTCCTTCTGGCTGAGACCCATATTCAGGAGGGCCTGAGTCAGTCCCATGCTGGCTTCCCAGCTATCAGCTGTTTTTACTTTTTGTATTAGTGCATGATGCCCATAGTGGGGTGAGTTTATAGTCAACAAGTCAAATTTGTCCAGTAGAGAATCATCCAGGGTTGGTCTTGCTAGTGTTATTTCTGGAAGGTGCTAATGGCATAGTACCAGCTTATTTATACCTCCAGCAGAAAAGCATTAGTTGTCAACGGCTTCCTAATACACTCTTCCTGGTTTCTGCATCTGTGTCTGGTGGGAAAGGCAGGAAAGGGATGCTTGACTTGTCTTACCTAGAACCAAAACTTGTGACTATCAGTTCAAAGCCCATAAGTGCTTCTTCAGTCAAAGTTCTAAAAGGAAATGACAGCACATTAAAATTGTGTTAAGAGAACGGAGCTTATTTAAAGGACAACTTCCAAACATGTGGGAAGTGTGGAGAGAAATCCCAAAGGACAGGAATAAGGGTTAACATCAAAGGGCATTGCCATCCAAGGACTAAGGGATGAAGAGACATGGAATTTTCTAGAACCTAGAGACACAGAGGCTGACAGCCCAGCTAAAAGATGAAATAACCAGTGCTGACACTGCATGAGGGATCACTAATCTCATTTGCTGTACTCCCACTCCTGATTCTATTAGGCTGTGTCCACCAGGTGCTGGGGTGCATTGAGTGCAGATGAGCCCTCTGCAAGCCGAAGGGACTGCAGAAGTAAATGGAAGTCAAGTCAGTTGAGCCATGCTGAGACAACAAGAGAAGGGAAAATTGGTATTGGCTGGCTTTCAATTTCCCCAATTGCTTGTTCAATTGGTATTTACTGAAGGCATATGTTAGAGTTTATACTCTATCTAGGAGTAGCTTAATAATAAAGAGGATAGATGGTCCCACTGAAGTTAATAGAGGCCGATAACTCTGTTATGCCACATGATCTAGGTGCCAAATCTGAGTCTCCTAAGAAATAAACACAATAAAATTCTTCTAAAACATTAACATGAAGTTGAATGGCCTGGAGAACTCGTCAAAGACACATCTTTTGATGAGGGTGGGTCTGGGATGTGAGCAGAGAGTTTTTCTACAGTTACCAGATGGTGCTGATGGCTCAGAGATCATCACACTTCAAGTAACAGTCATCGCAACCTCTCGCAGTCTCAGCTGACCTATCATTTCATTCTACAAAAAGCAATATCATAACAAAACGCTAGTATTTAAAAAGATATTTTGACTGGAGTGTTTGTAGAATCTGTTGAGTAGCTAGGCATTGTTTGAAAGTAATCATCAGGAAGTGTTTATGTTTTTATGGACCATAGAACTGGTATTTGACATGGAATTATGCATAGAGCCTTGTCCAGGGGCAGTCAGTTCTAGAATGTCTACATATAGAGAGAAAGATTGAGAGACAACAGTCCAACAGAGAGGACTGGAACTCCAAGGTTGTAAGCATATTGGTTTCATGTTGTCATAGCGACATGTAGGCCACATAAGCTTAGCGGAGTGGCCTGTCTCCTGCTCCTGTGTCATTTTCACGAGTACATAGGAAAGAGATTAAATACCTCCTTGGAACTGTCATTTCCCAGATCCAACAGACATCAGTTGACAGATGAGTAAAATATAATTAGGTTGAAAAAAAAATCACCTTTAAGATTTTAATGTAGCATGCATTTCAAAATCTCTCATAGTCAAGCTGATTTACATTGCCAGTAAAATATATTTCAAATTGTGTAATAAATAATTTTGTTGCTAAAAAGCATAATCTGGAAAGAATTGGATTACATTTTATGATTACAATTAGAGTTTATTTTTTTTAAACAAATGCCTTATGATGAGGAGTGGGGATGTAGCTTAGAGGCAGAGCTCTCACCTAGCACTACAAGGTTCTGGGTTCAAGCCTCAGCATGGGTAAGATGTCTATAACATGAGTAATTGCCTCTTTATACATTCCTAGTGGAAATATACATTAAATTTAGGAACTGATTGTTCAAGAACCGGTCTGCAATACATTGTTCAGCTGACAGGAAGGAGTCAACAACATCTCAAAACTGTGACTCAGTAAATATGTAGACTTGAGGCTGTCTACAGTGGTATGAAGGGACAGCTTGTTTCACAGCAGCAGCACGGGGATCAGGATGGCATGCCAGGGATGATGATACTTGATCTTCCAGCATCCTCACTCATGCTGCAATCCGCATTCCAAAACCTAAGGTAAACTTGTCCATCCCAGCTAGTCACTCATCCATTTCCCCATCAGATACTTTTGAGCATAGAGAAGAAGCAGTCTTAACCCAAATGCTTATCAGTTTAACAAAAGAATGTGGCTTAAAGAGGCAAGCACTGGGTTAGTGTGGGGTTAATCAGAGGGTGTTCCGCCCACATCTGTTTCCTGTTCTACCATTCAACATCACTTGACCACCTTGAACTCCAGTTTCTTCATCATCGGAGTGACAGGGTGGAACAAGATGTTTGTTGGCAACATAGTCATTCTGTGATTCTATGAAAAGGATTATGAGAAGCTGGTTAACAAGTAGTAAACATTCTCCAAACAAATTTGAATGAAACAACAACAAAGACTGAGGACTTGATAAAGAATGCTTGCCTAGAATAAAGAAAGCCCCAGATTGGAGCACAGCTCAATGAAAACATGTTTTCTTAGTTAAAAAAAAAAAAAAAAAAAAAAAAAAAAAAAATTCTTTGATTGTTCTTCTCACAGGCGGGACATGAAAGCTTTTGGTGTGCATGTCTCATGCATTGAACCAGGACTATTCAAAACACAACTGGCAGATCCAATAAAGACAACTGAAAAAAAACTAGCCGTTTGGGAACATCTGTCTCCAGACATCAAGCAACAATATGGAGAAGGCTACATTGAAAAAAGTGAGTTTTGGGTTAGATGTAGTTTTGGGATTCACTGTCCTGGTCATCATGAAGGAGTCACAAACACAATGATGGGGATCTTTAATATGGTTTTTAAGTCCAGCACCATTTCTTGCTTCTCTGAATGATTGTAAGTGCTTACTGAGAAACTAAACAATGCCAAGGTTTATGCTAAACACTTCTGAATTGCACCATTTATGCCTCAAAAGAAGTATCGGGGTAGTGAATAGAGGCTTCTCAAGGTAAAATGTCCTTTCCAGGGTGATCCAGTATCTCCTGGTCAAGCCAGATATGAAGCCAGGCAGCCTGGCTCCCAGAGTCTTCATTTCTATGCATATTTCATCTTGTTACTAAACACAAACCACTCATTCAGCATGTTCAATGATCTGGTGAGGTGTCAATGATGAAGAAGACTCAGACTGTGATCCTTACAGCCCACTATAACTGATTACAAAGAGTAACCAAGTAAAACTGAGAAACAATGAGACTACATACACAGCATCAAGAAAACAGATCACCTTTAGGGTGACCCAGAGAGTCAAAAGTGAAGCTGATGGTGCAGTCTCTAATTGCCCCAGAATATAGAGCAGGAAAGGGACCCAGGTGATTGAGAAGCTTTAACAGGAAAGGACATGTTTAAATAAGGCTTTAGATTCCAGGAAATAGTCATTCGGGTGGAGGAAGCTGTCAGGAGTCAGAAATACGTGGAAGGGGAAGAAGATACAAAATGAGTCAAACGAAGGAGTCAAAGGGAGAGAATAATAATAAAGATTACACAATGATGATTAACACTGTGAATATTTACAGAGCGCTTGTCATCATTCTAAGGGCCCCACACGCCCATTTTACAATCCCCAAGCTCTATGGAGTGGATGCTATTACATCCTTCACTTCATAGAAATAGAGACATAGAAATGACATGCCTGAAACTGCACAGCTAGACTTGAACCCAGCATAATTGTGTCATGCATTCTTGGACACTCTAATACAAAGGAAGCAATGTAGTGAAGACTTCGGTCAAAGTTCCTCTTAGAACCTTCCTCCCACCTCCAGCTTCCTGAACCCGTAATGTTTGCTTATATTCCTCAAACATGGACTCTTGCCTTCAGTGGAGCAAGGTCCCTCCATGTCACACCGCCCCTCAAAAATGTGACTGCCTCATTGCTAGTCAAGAACACAGTGAACTATGACAAGGTTCAAGATCAGCTGTTTGAATGTAAACCCAAGACTCAAGTCGTAAACACATATGGAAGTTTTCAGAGTGATAGACAGCACCAAGCACCACCTCAATATAATACACACAAGGAAAATATCCTGAGGGTTTCACTAAAATGTTTATTGACAAACTTGCCAATGAATATCTCTCTGTAAGCTTTAGAGCCATCACCATTAGAAGCTGTGTTTCTTACACTCTGACTCTAAAGGTTTTATTTAGGTCAACTTATCCCTGTTAGACTTAATACTTCAGAGATGAAGTCCTTTCTTTAAAAGAGTTTTCTATATTAGATAATTATGGTGATACCAATAAGTGCCTGTGACTATATCACAAAATTCCATCCCAAAATTTTCCATTCTGGCATATAACAGTTGTATGTATTTATGAAACATAGTGTGATATTGATACCAACAGTAATAAACAGCAAGGTGGCTGGTATATTGATTTCTGAAACATTTATCATTTCTAATGAAAATTGTCTATCAAAATTGTCTTTACTAAGAAATATAAAATAGCACTTGACCCAGTTTTATGTTGATTTGTCATATTAAATATTTCCAAGTCAGAATTTAGAGGTGAGCCAGACTTACAGCCCCAACACAGACCAGAAATTTCAGGTTGCCTTTCTGTGTTTCCCAAGCTGAACAAAAATGTAAACAAGTCATTAACACTTACTACATTCTTTGAACAACTTGTGGCCTCTTAACCAGTACCACTGTCACTTACTATGTTCTTTGAATAATTGAGGGCCTGAGATCTAACATGGTAGGTTTTCCCTCTGAGAAGACATGACTCGACTCAGGTATGTTTGAAAGCCCATGAATATCATATGGTAGTTCCACTTTGTGGTTGTTTTGTTTTTGGTTTTGAGGAAGCCCATACAATTTTCTATAATTGCTGCTTTAGTTTACATTCTCAGCAACCACATGCACAGGGTCTCTTCCCTCCACACACAGGTCAACATTTCTTTTGACTCATTGATGCTCTAAGGGTCCAATATGATGTCTTGCTGTGGGTTGGATTTGAGCACTGGAGCAGTCCATGCACTGTGAATGACAGTCACATACACACACACACACACACACCACTACCTCCCCACCCTTTCCCCACCCTCCCCCATCTATGGCCTTTTGAGAAATGTCTGTTTGGATCCTTCTCATGGTTTAGTCAGATTGTTCATTTTTTGTTTGTTTGTTTGTTTCTGTTGAGTTGTTGGTGTTCCGTTTTATATTTCTTTTTGTATCAACCCTTTATCAATGTATGGTTTGCAAATAATTTTCCCATTACACAAGTTATCTCTTTGTTCCTTTAACTGCTTTCTTTGATGCACAGGAGATTGTTAGTCTGATGCCGGCCTGTCAGTTCATATTGGATTTTGTGATCTGTGCTGTTGGGATCATCTTCAAACCTTATTTCTTAGTACAATTTCAAAAAAGCTTTTACTCTGTGTTTTATAGTTTTAGGTTCTACTTTAAAGTCCTTGATCTGTCCTGAGTTGACTTTTACAGTCAGTACCAATTTCATTCCCTTGCCTGTAGATAGCTAGCCTTTCCAACACTTTATTGAAAGTGTCCAGGTCTCCAAATCATTCCCAATCCCTTGTGAATGCATTTGTCTCAAGGGAATCTTAGGTTCCTGACAACTAGGAGACTTTTCACTTTAATTCAGGACAAAAATGCAGAAATATTCAGTGGTGTGAGTGCCTTCTCCATCCTCATATGCACGCATGAACACTCATGAGCAAGAATGTGTACATAATCATGTTTCTTACAACACAGTACTCTCCAGAAAGGATTAGGAATCAAAATCATGGCTCTCCAGAAGCAAACCCCCATGGACTTTATACAATATCCTTATTCTGTATATAGAACCCAGAAGTCTGGGTCTTCATAAGCCCCTTAGGAGATACTACTGCCCACTCAAGTTTGAGATGAGACCAACTTGCCTAAAGAAGACATCCATCATAGCATCCTTTTCTGGAGAATGGAAACCCATTCCAGTGAGCCTCAATTACAACAGAAAATTCAGAATAAAAGTCCCTGTCATGTGTCTTCCTGTTTGCACCCTAGCTTCCCACTCTGCTTCTCCTTTTCTTCCAAAGAATAAGAGTATTTTTTTGGTCTCTGTTTATAGGTCTATACAAACTGAAAAGCAATACATCCTTTATGAACTTGGACCTCTCTCTAGTGGTAGAGTGTATGGACCATGCTCTAACAAGTGTCTTTCCTAAGACTCGCTATTCTGCTGGAAAAGATGCCAAGACATTTTGGATACCTCTGTCTCACATGCCAACAGTTTTACAAGACTTTTTATTGCTGAAGCAGAAAGTAGAGCTGGCAAATCCCAAAGCAGTGTGACTCAATGGACCACAAATGCCTGCCCCAAGCCTCGAGGTTGACTGATTTCAAAGACTTACCATTTCAATCTCAGTCTTTACCAGACCCAACATGGGCTCATTTAGAGCATGTGTCTGTTTATAAAGGAGGGTGTCCCATGGTCCCTTAATAAGGACAGAGAAAGAATATCATACATGTCAGTCTTGCCTGATACTGAAGCCTTGGTAAGATGAAAGGGAAACTGAAAGACTTCTCCATCCAAGATATGTGTGCTGCTACCTGGCCCTTGCTGGTTCAGTAATCCAGAATGTTAAACATCATCTTTTATCAAAACATTAAGAGATAAGAAGTCTTTCGTAAGTGGCCTGGTGGCTCTGGTAGATCACTGAGAAGACTCAGGCTGGCATTCACTAGGTTCTGATAAACTTTAACAGGAACAAGAAAGTGACAAACCGCACTGTCACACAAAGCACTGGTATGAACCGAGAGGTGGTGAAAAACAGAGGAAAAGAAAAGACAGGAAAGGGAATGAAAACCAGGAGCTCCAAGACAAGCTCCATACTCCAGAGGGACATAGAAGATGCACTACAGCGACTACTATGACATTATCCCAGCTGGTCCTAGTCCAGGGAGCATTTCATGTCTGGCTTCATCTGTTTGAGTCAGCCACATCACGGCGGAAGTTCACAGTTCTGTTGGCCACAGCCATACCTCATTTCAACGGCCAGGTTCTTGGCTCCATTCACAGCTTCAGAGTCTGTGGCTTGCTGCCCTTTGACTTTCCAGATGTCCCAAGGCTGCCAAGATCTGCAGAATCTGAAGGAAACTCCTTTGCCGATCTTCCCACCGTATTAGTCCAATGGCTCAACATGCTAAGTCTGTCTTTTATTTGCCTTTTCTGGGATCATTTTGATTTTTCTTATTCTTTTAAGTAGCTACAATTTCCTGTTTCTTCCAACCAAAAACTAAGTGACCTGCAGTCCCCTGTTAAGATCCAGCTTGCCAAATGCATTACCAGCTGCCCAGTGTGCCAGCTGCCCTTCTGTAACACTTTTGAGTATGTCCTCCTTTGCTATAGTTCTGCCATCAGCTTCCCCTCAGAGAAGGCTCAATGGACCCCAGTGGTTACTCTTCACCTGTTGGTTCAGAGATACTGTGAAGGAGCCTGCTGCCATAGTAAGCCAGCCTGAGCCCCGGGATCCCCAAATAAGTCAAGAGAGTGTCAAGAACAAATTCCTCGTTTCTGTGGCTGAAAGCGGGGCATGTCTAAACTGTCCAGACTAAAGAAAATCTCTTCCATTTAAAATATCTTCAAAAACCCTAAAACATCAGTGGGCAGCTCAGCCTAGTGTATGATGAGGAAAATTCCCAGGAAGCTTCTAAGAAAAATGCTCAAATTTCACCCTCCTCTGTGGTATTAGTCCTAGCAGTTCTCAGTGGTGTAAAATATCACAGACTCATTTACTGATGTGGAGAAAATAGCCAGCCATTCTCAAAATGAAAAAAGCTCTGGTATCTACAAGCGACTTATATCAATTTTAATCTAAATGACCACTTCCTGAATTCTTGCATGCCAAACAAGACAATTCTCATTTGTTTTGTTTTGTTTTGTTTAACTTACTTATTTTTATTTTATGTGCATGGGTGTTTTGCCATGGGTGCTGGGTTCCCTAGAACTGGAGTTTACAGACAGTTGTGACCCACCATGTAGGTGCTGGGAATTGCACTCTGGTCCTCTGGGCGAGCAGTCATTGCTCTTAACCCCTGAGCCATCTCCAGTCCAACAATTCAGATCTGTACATTTTTCCTTAATTAACTCTGGTTATTTTCACCCTTGCTTTTGTTGCTGAGGGTCAAACATCCAGGATCTCACTCAAGAGCCTGAGCTACACCACTAAGATATACCACACCCAAGCTTGTAATTTATTTTTAAAAAGGAAAATGTTTATAGTTTCCACCATGGTTTATGAAGCATTGTGCTAGCCAAAGCACTGTTACCACCTGTCTACCGATTCTCTTGTTGGGACACTTGCCAGAGAAAGATCCAGATCCACAGCCAGACAGGGTGCCTGGAAATAGGATATAACCTCAAATAGGTCAGGCAAGGACAACTCAACCCTCTGTCATTTTCTGTAGTCAGTACCTTCCCTAAAGTGACCCACTTCACTTCCGTCAGAGAAATTGGAGTCAGAAAGGATCCCACTATGGATCTGTAGCCTATATTGTAGACAACAGCCATCTAGTCATACATAGGGGAAAGTTTACTCTCTGTCTTTGGTCTGGTTTTCCTCCTCCATGGCAGTTATAACTTGAGTATGTGCAAACCAAAATGGCGGTAACTGGGTTATGAAACAGACAATGCAGAAAAAAGTCTTCCCACTAGAGTAATAATAGGAAAAGTAATCCAGCTGGCGATTCAGTGGATACTCTGTGCATGTCAGAGTCTTAGTACAGTCTCTACGTGTTCCAAAAACAGTTTAATCTAACCCTCACCATGTCTCAGTCAGCTGTGTATTTTAGACATGGGGAAATGAAATCATAGCCAAGTGGGTAATTTTCTATATTTTAGAGTGCTAGTCATCTTGGGCCAGGACTCACCCAGATAGCCTCATTCCAAAGACCATGTGATTGTAGTATATAATAAAGAATCCAAGGCTTGCAGAGTCTTCATAAACATTGATTCTGATTGTACAGAAATAAAGCCTTCATTAAACAGTCTAACATTAGTCTTAACTGCTCAGTGACGATCATAAGTACATATGGACATAGTTTTTGAGAAAAGTGAAGATATACTCATTTCTGTTTTTATAAATTCTACTTTCATTTCTTCTCACTTATGATAAAATAACATGAGCATTTATACACAATGTCTCCTATCTTAGGGGTTTAGGGACTATATTTCTGAATTTCTTTTACCTGTTTCCCTTTTGACACCTCTTTTCTTTGTTGTTATTGTTGATTTTATCCACTTGTTACCTGCTTGAGGAATTTATTTGTGATCACTTTTCATTAATATCAATAAATAGCTTCAGTCACCTCTCCTCACCCACCTAAAAAGTCTTTTAGCTTTTAAAATCAGACAAAAACATAAACACAAAAGAGCATATTAGCAAAAAAAATCATTAAAAAATGAGCAACACAAATACCAAGTTTCTTATTGTTGCTTTATCTTGGTTTTGTTTTTGCTTTGAATTGAAATCTTGGCAGACTGTCCTGGTCCCTGCAGCTAGGGACAACCTAGGAACTCCAAGGACAGACATCTCCAAAACGAGCTCAGATCCTCCTACTGCACTGTAATCTAAGAAAATGCCAGTCTGCTGCTGAACCTTATACTCTGACAGGAAGAGATCAAGTCACCCAGTGTCTGTGTCAGGAACATGTCCTGGGGAACGTTCGCAGTTTCACACGCTTCAGCTCCAACCGTGCTGAAGAGTGAAAGTCACCACTTTCTAATTGCCTTGCCAACTTGCTCCAGCTTCTAAAACACTTTTATTATTTTTGAGTCAAGGCTTTTAGAGGAGAGGGAAGAAAGGGCACCCACTCCCACTTCCATCATCATAATAAGGGTTTTCATTTATTGAACTTTCCAGACCAGGCCAAACCCCAGCCCAGAGTGACATCTGTAAAGTCGTTACAGTTTTTACCCAGAAAATGCATTTAGTGTTCTCTTTTACAGATAAAAAACCTGATATCCAAAGTCTTCCACCTATAATAATCTGAGATTCCTAAATCCCCCATCCTTGAAGTGTTTAAGGAGTATGGTTTTTCTGCCTGCCGCCTGGCCTTGTCCTGCCGCTGCGCCAGCCCCAAATAATACACAGAGACTCTGTATTTGATATTATGCTGTTGGCCAGTTACTTGTTTCTTATAGGCTAGCTCTGTCTTAAGTATTAACCCATTTCTATGTATTTCCACGTGGTTTCATCTACGGGTGGTTTCACCTACCTGGGAGTGGGGCAGGCGTCTGGTCTCCCCGGTCTCTCCATGCTGACTCCTCCTTACTACTTCCTCTTTCCTCCTTGTCTCCTAGTCCCTCCTATCTTGCTTTCCTATTGGCCAACAGTGCTTTATTCATTAACCAGTATGAGGAACATATATACATAATGGCATCCCCCATCATTGAAGTGCTGTCTAAGAAACAAGAAAGAAAGGGGGAGGAAGAGATGCATACCACACAATGAGTTTTAAACTCATGGCACTTCCTTTGAGTTCTTTCTGGCACACCAGAGCCACCGTAGATTAGCAATTTGCAAACTCTGAGTACTGAAAATTAGATAAGACAAGTCTCTTGGCTAAGGACTCCAAATACTTTCTCCATTGCTTGGAAGTATTCTCTTTTTCATATCTATGTGGGGTGGGATGGGGGAGAGAAGAGAGGGTTGAGTGTACCACACACACATGTGGAGATCAGAGCATAACTTGTGGGAGTCAGTTTTCTCCTCCCACTATGTGAGTCTAAGAGTTCCACTGTGTAGAACTCAAGTAGTGAGGCTTAGCAGCAATTATTGTTACCCACTGAGCCACACAGCAGGCCATGCCCTGGGACTCTAAGAGGATGGCAGACAAAGGTGAGCCAGTGCTTCTCTTATTTCCTGCTCCAACCTCTGCTGCAAGAACCAGTGTAAGAAACTCAGTTTCTCTTTGTGAGCATCAATGTAAACCGGCATTTTCATGTTTCACAAATTGCTTTCAGAACAAAATTAGTAAAAGTTTTCTAGTCAGATCCTTAGTCTCCAAACCTTCAACTCTTCTTTAGGCCTGGTCTCTCTTCCCTTCAGGCCCCTCTTTCACCTCCACACTGAGGGGAGCATTCCATCCATGGCCCGACTAGAGACAGAGGCAGGTGTGTTGACACAGAAGGGGATATTCTGTAACTTCAAACCACAGGGGAACACAATAAAGTCATAGATTTGTCTGTGCTTCCAAAATTCAATTGTTGGATTCAGGGCCCCATTGCAGACACACCAAGGTGTTCTGTGCAAGAGGCAGCTCAAAATGAGTCAATAGGGTGATGTAATCACGTGATGTAACCATCCCTCTACCTCCAGAAGGAAAAAATATGAACAGTGCCCTAATCTTGGCTAACTTTGTTCAAAATTTCTTCTTGTATAATCATCGTATGTGCTACTATTTACATAAAGACATTTCATACATATATTGCACATCGAACATACCCCCCACACCCTTTCTCATCCTCCCCACCCCCATTGGTCCCTAGACAGTTTCAAGTCCACTTTTATGTCATTTATGCAGATATGATTTTTTGGAAAAGTGTCCAGCAGTTAAATAGTAGGGTCACATGGCAAATCTATTTTTAATTTTTTAATAAATTGGACTAGTTTACATCCCACCAGTGGTATATATGGTAAGAATTTGCTTTGCCCCATATTCTCACCAGCGTTTGTTGTTTTCTGAATGTCTGCTTGGCCTAAAATTTAAATAAATAAAATACAGGAGAAGGTTGGTGATGGCTGTTTCTACGCTCACCTGTTCAGGGCACTATTGGGAGCCCTGGTCATAAGTAACTGTATATATTCCATGCAGGTGATCAAGGGTAGCTGAAGTCTAGATTAGCAGCAGAAGAAATGAAGAGGCTTGGGTGACTACATTGGGAGGCAAAAATAGGGGTGGCAGAATAGCTCACTTGAAGGAGGACAGATAGTAGAACAGGGGCTATGGGTGGAAGTTCTATGGAATTCAAGTTCAAATCCTCTTTTATGAAGAGGATTTTTGTACCAGTAGGTTTAACAGAGGGCAGCTACTGTGGGTGGGTAAAAGAAGGTTGCCCTGGAAGACTACACTGTGACACAAGGGTGCTAAAGAAAGGACTCAAGAAATGTGGGGTGGAGCTTGCTGTCTCAGTTGAAATTTACAGATTCTTAACCCCTCTGATTCTATCATTGTGAAAGGGCCTTTCCTCAGAGCAGCACATACCTGTACATAAATAGCTAGAACTTCTAGATTCTAAAGGCTGAGGAAACAATTCAGATGTGTCTTATCCCAGCTGTGGCAGGATATGAAACTGTATTCCTCCAAGCCTTGAAAGCTTGCCTTATCCTCCAATAGGAGAAAAGCAGACAGTACTAACAGGGGAGGGAAGAGAAATCTAGACAAGGTGAAGCTAACTTCTGACCTTGTTTAGAGGAAGCCCCACAATTAGTAAAAGAGAAGGAAGCTGGAAGTATTCTTGGAGCAGCTCACAACCTGAGGGGCATAGTAGTTGAGCTGAGTGTGTGCTTAGCAAAGTTAGCTCCCTCTTACATCTGTGGGCTCTGAAACAATGGATTCAACCACTCATAGGTTGAGAAGCACTTTTGGAAAATGAACCTGTATTGCATATGCACACATTCTTTCTTGTTATTGCTAATGGGACCATCCATCCATGAATAAATGGTTTCCAAGGTGAGTTGTACCTCTACAGGAATCCAATTAATTAGTGTAGGCAGCCATTTAAAAAATGTCACATTGCCCTTCAAGGCTATCTAGTTCCCAGAGTGATGCACTGAGAGACAGGCCGGTGACATGACCAGTTATGGCTTCAAAATGTTAGACACCAGAGGCAGTGAGATGGCTCAGCAGTTCTTTACCAAGCCTGATGACATGACTTTGATCACCAGAATGCACATGGTGGACGGAGAGAAATGACTCCTGGCAGTTGACCTCTGACCTCCAGGCATGTGTGCCTCCCTCCAACAATATAAATGTTGGGCATTTACTGAAACTCTCTTGTTAAGTGCAGTTTGCTGCCAGCCTGATCCCAGGGCCGAGTCAACCCCAAATAAGATGCAGAGACACTGTATTACTTATATAACTGTATTACGTATATAATTGTTGTCCAGTTACTAGTGTTTCTTATTGGCTAGCTCTGTCTTAAATATTAACCAATTTCTATCAATCTAAGTATTTGCACGTGGTCTTGGCTTACCAAGAATGTCAGTCCCGTATCTCCTTTGCCTGTTACATCTCTGCAGAGAAGAGAACGACTTCATGTTTGTCCCTGTTTATATTCTGATTTTGCCCAGCTATGTCACTTCCTACATGTCTGTGCTGACCTCCAGACCTCTATGGTTAGCTAGTGGAAGTATCTGTCATGCTATGTCACTTCCTGCCTGGCCAATCAGTGTTTTATCCATTAAAAAATAAGACAAATACATATACAAAAGAACATTCCCCATCATCTCCTCTTTTCTGTCTAAATAAAAAGAAGGGTTTTAACTTTAACATAGTACATATAACTAAACAGTTATTAAGCAAGAACTATAATTACAATATTTACTCTATTAATATTATCAAGAATGAAAGGAAATATGTTATCATCTAGCCTACCTTTGTGATTCTAAAGTCTTATAAGTACTTATAAGTCCTAAGGAAAACTAGAACCATAACTATCTGTCTTTAACTCTATCCAAGATCACAGAAGGATACTATATAAACTCTAGAAATGACAGACAACTTGCCTGGCCAGCCACCTGAAGTTCTTCTGTAATGTTCCATCTTTAACCTATAGGCCATAGTGTGTTTGGCAGACTTCTCAGAAAAGCAGGAAACTTTAAACTGTCCACCTTTATTGGCAGTTTGTCAGTCACTTTTCTCTGTGTCCTGTAGACTACCTGGCAGACTCTTCCATGAAGCAGGAACCCTGCAGCAATATCCATCCTGTTTCAGCAGTCATTTTCTTGTAGGTCCTGCATGTCTAGTTTATACAACATAAAGTCAAACAG